CCTACATTCTGAACGTGAAGTCTTACTACCACTATTCGGGATTTTTTCATGCATTGCAGAAGTCATGTTCTTTATTCTATACGTTACACACCAGAACGATAGCTCCATCAAGAACTTATGGTTTCCGAGGCATACAATAAAGATATGTAGATCATTAAAGTAGATTGTTTGTAACGAATGACTTGGGGCCTACTCAAGTTAGACGGGGATAGTATGACGAACTAGCCAGCCTTGAAGTTATACTTCACGGTCAGAACCTAACGTGGATTACCCCTTCGTCGTATCCAGTTACTATGACTGGTTTGATGACCGTGCAACACAAATGACGTTATTACAGAAATATATTAATAAGAGTGGGTAAAATAAAAAGTGTGACCACCACTGTATGGGGCAGTCTATGGCGTGCGATCAATTGATGTGCGTTGGTTGTCCTTGAAATTGACCAGGATTGGTGAACTGTTTGACATTCAATGACCCGACTGCCGGATGATTTGGCAATAGCACAGTAACATTTCAATGACCCTAAATTTCCAAAAAGGAGAGTAAGCAATCTGTGACTAGAATCCCGCTTTTCCTATTGACGGATTAATAACTTTAACGTCTTACGCTCTGTAATTGGTAATGGACTCATCGATAAACTGAATCTTCAAAGAAACATTTGCTGTGGGGATTGTAGCGGTAAATAAATCCCCAAAATAAATAGCACTAAGTTTTCGACATTGGATGCTGACCATATGTTTTAGTGGACTCACCTAGCTGAAGGCGCTCGGTCAGCCATCCGCACCAGATCACGTGTGGTAACGCCGTGCTCAACATCAACCGCAATCGCTAGCCAGATTAGATCAGAGAATTCCGATATATTGGTCATCGCCAAATATACTCTTCCGATCTCCTCGACTCTGTCTTTTGATTTCTCTGGGCGGGAACGAAATATATTAGAAGGTGTTACTGGTAGAAGCGTTGTCAAACACTGAATACCTGTGACATCATCATTGGTGAGACTGACGTGATCTGGTACACCTAATTGCAACTGTGAGTCTGTTCCTTTTTGGGATTTTTATATATCATTGCCTTATTTTTTTTAACTTTTTTAAACATTGTGATTTTTTTTTCGTGTTTTTTCCTGGATATATATATTTTCCCCTTGTTCATTATCGTACTTCATACTTCATCATGACTGAACAGACACCTAAAGTACTCAAGCTTAAGACTTTGTCCCCGCCTTCGTTTCAACTCATGCCTTTCTGGCCCGACAACATCGAAGCCTGGTTTTGCTACGCAGAAGCCGACTTCTCCGAGCACGGCGTGATCGACACACGTGCACAATTCCTCGCAGTAGTCAAGGCACTACCGCGCGAATTCAACAGGTACGTAACACCTAGTATGTTTACTAGTGATGTTTCCGATCCTTACGAAATCTTAAAACGCTCGATTCTTAAACGAGGAGACCTAACCGATCGACAAAGGTTAGATCAACTCTTCAACAATATCGACCTGCAACACGGTTCTGCGACAGACATGTTGCAACGGATGAGAGAGGTTATAGGCCCAAGAACTTTCGACGAAGGCCTATTCAAACAACTCTTCTTGTCAAAACTTCCCCAACAGGTGCAAGCAGTTCTGGTATCGTTCCAGAACAACGCCTTAGACGAGCTAGCTGCATCTGCCGACCGCATATTAGAAATTACGAAATCTACTACCGAGGTATTTTCAGTCAAAGAAAAACCTCAAACGACTCAGAATGATATAAACGACTTATGTCACACACTCACGCGTTATCTTAGTCTTCGTAACGACCGTAAGAGATCGCGCACACCACGTAGAAGCATTTCTCGTAAGCGATCTGTCTCTAGACCACGAGAGACAGATAACCCCGACTGGTGCTGGTATCATAACCAGTATGGAAAGCTTTCCAGAAATTGCAGAAAACCCTGCAATTTTCCCAACACGAAACCGACTGATTCGAAAAGCAATTCGGGAAACTTCCAAGCCGGCACGCGTTAACGGCAACCGTAGCCGGCAAACAAAGCCGTCTGTTATTCGTCACAGATGTGACAACGAGAGTTCGCTACCTCGTCGACACTGGCGCAGAAGTTAGCGTTCTCCCAGCGATTCCTAACGACCGACTACACGAATCGACCCTAAACTTACAGGCGGCAAACGGAAAACCGATCGCTACGTATGGCAAAAGGTACGTTTACCTTAACGTGGGTTTACGCAAACCCATCCACTGGATTTTCGTTGTTGCAGATGTTTCTATGCCAATCATTGGTATGGACCTTCTACAACACCACAATCTGATCATCGACACCCGCAAACGGAGGCTAGTAGACGGAAACACTAATTTGTCCGTTTGCGTAACTTCTTTTACTGGTTGTAGAGTATCCCCAGTCACAGTTAAACATATGATAGACCCACTCTATCAACCACTACTCGATAAGTACCCTGAGATACAACAAACTCAAACGAAACTACCGTGTGTAACCAGCAATGTTACACATCACATCACGACTACAGGACCACCTGTATTTTCTAAAGCACGCCGACTAGCTCCTGAAAAGCTAAGGTTAGCGAAAAACGAATTCGATCACATGATGGACTTAGGAATCATACGACCGTCAAGTAGCCCATATGCATCTCCGTTGCACATGGTCCCTAAAAAGGACAGCAACGATTGGCGTCCAACTGGTGACTATCGGCGATTGAACGCGAAAACCATTCCCGATCGTTACCCGTTGCCTCACATTCACGATTTGACAGCTACCTTGAAAGGTACAACTGTTTTTTCGAAAATCGACTTGGTTAAAGCGTATAACCAAATCCCTATGGCTACTGACGACATACCAAAAACAGCTATCATAACTCCTTTCGGACTCTATGAATTTTTGAGAATGCCTTTCGGTCTAAGGAATGCTGCTCAAACATTCCAAAGATTCATAGACGACGTTTTTCGAGGTCTCAACTTCGTACACGCGTATGTTGACGACTGTCTAATCGCAAGTCCGGACAGAGAAACACATCTCAAGCATCTGGATCTTGTTTTCGAACGACTTCAAAAACATGGCATAACTGTAAACGTTCAGAAATGCCAATTCGGAACCGACTCGTTAGACTTCCTAGGACACACTATCGATGCTCAAGGCATTCGACCTCTTAGGACCAAAGTGGCGGCCATTCTGGATTACCCAGAACCGACCACCGTCAAGCAATTACGCACGTTTAACGGCCTGGTAAGTTTCTATAGACGTTTCATACCGAAATGCGCATTACTCATGAAACCTCTGACCGACCAACTTCGTGGAAATGCGAAATCCATTACTTTGGACGACACCGCACGAAAAGCATTCTCCACAGTTAAGGAACTGATTGCTAAAGCAACAATGCTCGCACATCAGGACACCCGAGCACCCATTAGCATCGCAGTAGACGCATCCGACTCGGCAATCGGAGGAGTCTTACAACAATGGGTTAACAACTCCTGGCAACCCTTGGCATTTTTCTCTAGACGGTTGCTAGACACCGAATCGAGGTACAGCACATTCGGTAGGGAACTCCTAGCTATGTATTGTGCTGTACGGCATTTCCAACACTACATCGAAGGTCGTGAATTCACTCTTTTTACGGATCATAAACCGCTTACTTTCTCGTTAAGCTCTCCTTCTGACAAGTACTCTCCCCGTGAGTCTCGACAACTGGACTACATTTCGCAGTTTACTTCAGATATTCAACACGTCTCTGGAGCAAACAATGTAGTTGCAGACGCTTTATCTCGTATAACTTCCTTGAACAGTTTCCAAGGAATCGACCTTCTTAAACTCGCCGAGCTTCAAAAAGAAGACACTGATCTTCAGCACGAGTTATCGTCCACAACACTTAAACTACGCATCAAACAGATGGGAACAGGTAAGGAAACCTTACTTTGTGACACATCTACAGGTAGGGATCGCCCAATCGTGCCGAAACATTATCGACGCAATGTCTTCAACACATTGCACAAACTTTCGCATCCAGGTGTTCGTGCAACCATCAAGCTTATAGCAGAAAGGTTTTGCTGGCCTGGAATGAATAAAGACGTGAGGGAGTGGGCACGCTCCTGTGTAAGCTGCCAAAAATCTAAGGTTATCAGACACAACAAATGTCCCTTAGGCTCGTTTAAAACTCCCGATGCTCGTTTCGACCATGTTCATCTGGATTTGGTAGGACCTTTACCAGATTCAAATGGATACTCTTATCTCTTAACCTGCGTAGACCGTTTCACTCGATGGCCAGAAGCAGTACCTATCAAGGACATCACTGCTGAAACAGTGGCTCGCACCTTCGTCGAACGATGGGTAGCAAACTTCGGCTGCCCTTCAACCATCACTACAGACCGCGGACGTCAATTTGAATCTGATCTTTTCCGTCGTCTGACCACTCTTTTAGGAAGCACTCGCTTCCGAACGACCGCCTACCATCCACAAGCAAACGGGTTGGTAGAACGTTTTCACCGACAACTGAAAGCTTCGCTATCAGCTACAAACGTTTCACAGTGGACCGACGCTCTTCCACTCGTCTTACTAGGTATCCGCAATGCAGTGAAAGCTGACATTGGATACACGGCGTCTCAACTCGTTTATGGTACGACACTTCGACTTCCAGGAGAATTCGTGGATCCTTCATCCTCTTCAATGAACATGGATCTAACCTCCTACACGAACAGGCTTACAAACGCAATGCGTTCAGTTAAACCTGCTTCCACCCGACCTCAATCGACTGATGTTTTCGTTCAACCTGACTTACGATATAGTACACACGTTTTCGTTCGTCGAGACTCGCATCGACGACCCTTCGAATCAGCATACGAAGGACCCTTCAAAGTTCTTCAACGTGAATCTAAGTACTATATAGTCGATAAGAACGGAACCAACGATAGCATCAGTATCGATCGCTTAAAAGCAGCGTATTTAGAAGGAAATCCTATCTACGTGGATTTTCCTTCGGTACAATTGAACGACACGACTCCGACACTTATAATACCTCATCCGACAACCAACACACACGATGATACTTCGACAGTATCCGAAAATAAACTTAAAACGACGCGTTCTGGAAGAAGGGTGAGATTTCCAGAACATCTAAACGACTATTGCACGTAAGGCACTTCTCGACATTTTATATTATTTTTAAAAAAAAAAAACAATTTTAATATGCTTATATATTTTTATTTCTATTTAAAAAAAAAAAACAAAACAAAAAAACAATTTTTTTAACGCTATTACGTGTTCATGAGTTTATTTTCCATTTTTTTTTCCGCCGACATTGTGCTTTGACGCACATACGAGTGTATTTCGACATGCACTTACATTTTCTTTTTTCTTTTCCAGGACGGCTGGAAAAGAACGATGACGTTTATGAGGATCCGAAATTTTCCATGTACATTTTCTTTTTTTACTATGTTGTACCTCCGTCCCATATAGTAAGGAAAGACGACCAGACGCTGCTAAATTTAGTAAGCTATCAGAAGAGTGTTTACCAACGACAAACTCGTTGGGTTTAAACTTCTGGCTGGCCACGTCTTAGGGTCGTCACTGCCCCACTAGGGGGGGAGTGATCTGTAGCGGTAAATAAATCCCCAAAATAAATAGCACTAAGTTTTCGACATTGGATGCTGACCATATGTTTTAGTGGACTCACCTAGCTGAAGGCGCTCGGTCAGCCATCCGCACCAGATCACGTGTGGTAACGCCGTGCTCAACATCAACCGCAATCGCTAGCCAGATTAGATCAGAGAATTCCGATATATTGGTCATCGCCAAATATACTCTTCCGATCTCCTCGACTCTGTCTTTTGATTTCTCTGGGCGGGAACGAAATATATTAGAAGGTGTTACTGGTAGAAGCGTTGTCAAACACTGAATACCTGTGACATCATCAGGATCAACGAAGTGCACCTGATATACTATTACAGTTCCTGATGCCTAAAGCCTAATTGCTTTGAGAGCCGACAAAGGACGCATTGTGTACCTCGACCAGGTGTCTGAAAATGCTATGAGTAAACCCTGTGATAAGATGTTAATATTTAGTGGTTTGCGCCAGCGTTCAGGTTATGTCCTGAGGGAGAGCTTGATGGAAGAAAAAAGAGACGACTCGCTAAGAAGAAAGAATGCACTTACACTCACTGATGAAAGCATTCGAAAGCAGTAAGAAAAAAACAAAAGTGCAATATCAGGACTATTCGAAAATCGAAACTGAGAGTTGACGAGATACAACTTCGAATGTGTTACGATGATCCTATCATTTCCAAGGTCAGGCGTTTGCGAGGTCGGTAAACTTGAGTAAGTTTCCTGGCTATATTACTTTTTACCATAATATTTGCTTAACCAATTCTTACCTTATAAAAGTAAGACAGTCTGAATGCTACCAACTAAGTTTCAACAGTGCATCATGTTTTCACATTACATAAGTATACTTATGTAATACAAAACCTACCAGTCATTTGATTTATATAAACCCCGAGGGAAACTATTTCACCCGAAGTTAATTCAAGACGGTCAGTATTTTTGTTGTTTATCAAGTATTTTTGGGCCAAATTTAGACGACTGAAGATGGGTGAGATGTAAAACACAGGTTTTTCTGGATTTTCGAAAACTCAAAGATCTCAAGGATTAGTTGAATGAGTTAATTTTATCCCCATACGTTCTTATGGCTCGTACACGTGAACTTTTACTACACGTTCAGTAAATATTAGGATCTTCTACTTAGTAGTCTAATTATTTGAGGATCTCGGCCTGCCCATGGCCTGCAGGCCAAGAGACGTTCTGCAGAAGTAGAAATAAATGAGCGCTACCGAAACGGTGAAAATATCTCATACCTAAGGGCTTTCAAATTGTAAAGGTTCGAAGCAAAACGACCCCCAAACCACTCTGGGTGCTAAGAAAAAGTTCTCCACAGAATTAAAGGTGTGCTACACGAATGCTCTCAGCCTACAAAATAAAATGGCAGACCTCAGTACTATGGCGGATATAGAGAACCCGGATGTCATTGCTGCCTTAAGAACATGGTTAACGTCAGAAGTGTTTGACAATGAAATTCAGTTTATTGTTTTTTTATCCAGTAGGGCTGATAAAACAAACCGTAGCAGAGGTGGGGTTATCCTTTACACGAAAATTACCTTAACCATACGAGCTGTTGAGTCAGTGGCACATGTCAACTGGTGCGCTGCAGGCTGAAGTGTAAACGGCAAGATATTTCAGTTGTAATATACCTCAGTCCAAAATGTGCAGCAGATGACTTCCTCTTAAGTAAACTTAAGTTCTGGTGTAATAGGGGTAAAAATCCTTACAGTATGCGACTTTAATGCACCATATATAAACTGAGTAGATTTAGAAGTAGGGTTATCAACAACATCATTTGATTGCAAATTGTTAGAAACCACGATTGGACTAGCTTTATTCCATCACATTGGAGATCCCACCAGCTCCTCGTCTCTCTTGAACTTAGTCTTCACACACAGTGCTGACGTTAGCCAGATGACTCTCCTCCCACCTCTAGGAAGAGGTGATTATGCAGTTATCTTATTCAAGTTCATGGCTGAGATGGCTTGTTAATCAGTCGCACCAGCCCGTCCTAAAATATGGAAGGCAGGCATAGGCCACAAACTCTGCAACATTGGTTGAAAACTGGATCAGTAGAAGAGGCGTAGACTCATTTCAGGTAGTTATACAATCGGGTAACAACCACATATACCCTGAACAGTCTTGAAGAAGAATAATTACAACCATCAACGGATAGGTCGGGATATTCGACGTTTAATAAGACAAAAGAAGAAATGTTGGAACGTTGCCATTAGATTTGACACAGAAAGTACGACAGAACGCCGCTACAGGTCGGTAAGAAATAAGTGTCTAACTAAAATCTGGAAGCTCAGGGAAAATATGAAACGCAATTAGTCCAATCTGTACTCAAACAGCCTAAGAGACTATTATCGTACATAAATTACAGAACAAGGACGCAACATTGGATTCCAAACCTAAGTACGGAAGGGAGTGGATCTGAAATGATAGGGGATGATCAGAGAAAACCAGAGGCTATGGCAAACTATTTCAGGGCAGTTTTCACTCAGGAGCCTCTTCTAGACAAACAACTAGACCCGAATACAGAGTCAACAAACCGTCTGCTCACCGTCCACTTTGATCGAAACGATGTACTTAAGGCTCTTAGCACTTTAGACACAGAAAAGTCAACAGGATCGGATGAACCACATGCCAAAATCCTGAGACAAGTTTCACAATATATTGCGACCCCACTGATTGTGATATTCACTGTCACTTGGCCAAGGTGTGTCACCTACGAACTGGAAGGATGCACTCGTCACTTCAATACACAAAGCAAAACCAAGACAACTTTCATCAAACTACTGATCTGTTAGCCTTACCATTGTCGTATATCCTTATACACAATCTTTTATATATTACTATCATTGAAGTAACTACTATGAATTCGGTGTTCATCTTGTTGCACTAATGAGGTATGGAAACTTGAACCGATGCGTATTTGTTCCTGGTCCTACGTTGTAGCTGACTGACTGATCAGTGTCGTAGTCAAAATACTGGAAATAATAGTCAAAAAGACCATAATGGCACTCATGGAAACCAACAACTTGTTAAACAGTGCACAACATGGTTTCAGAAAAAAGTTTATCTTGCACAACAAACCTTATAGCAAGGGCGCGATGGATAGAGTCTCTAGACAATGGAAAATCAGTGGATATTGTCTACATAGACTTCAGAAAAGCATTTGACAAGGCGCTTGTAAGTCGTAGTCAGAAATTAAGAAAAAAATTACAGGTATTTCTCCTGGAAACCATTACTTAATGAAGTATCGCAAGGTTCTCTACTAGGTCCTTTACTTCTCATACTGTATGTAAATGAATTCCCAAGTGTAGTTGAGTCAACAATGTTACTATACGCTGATATAAAATCCTGGTGAGAAATAACAGAAGACTCAAATGCATGCGCACTTCAGGCAGACTTAAATATTGTGATTAGCTGGTCTAAAGAGTGGCTGATGCTTATCAACGCTGCAAAGTGCGTCTACATGCAATTTGCGGATACAAACGTAAATAGGTACAGCATAGGGGAAGTGCCCGTACTCGTGGTCCGGTCTCACAAGGATCTTGGGGTGACAGTGAGTAATGATCTTAAAATCACGGCCCACTTCTGGGAAGTTGCAGCTAAGGTGTTTAGAAACCTATAGGCTTTAAGACTGACATTCACCAAGTTAGATACTATCATGTTCACTACAGTATACACAACCTTAGTGAGAACTAAGCTTGAAAACTGCGTTCAGGCTGCAAGCCCCTGTTTAAAAGGTGACTCGGATATCCTGGAAAAAGTACAAAGAGCAGCTATCCGTGCAATATTAGAACTCCGGGGTTTACCATACAAAGAGCGGCTTGAAAAGCTAGATCTTTTAAACTGTCCTATCGCACACTAAAAGGTGATCTGATTTTGATGTACAGAATACTAAGAAATGATTTCGGACCTAATATATCCTCTCTTTTCTTTCCCACTAGATCGGGACATCTCAAAGGACATAGCAGACATGTAGAAAGACCAAGAGCGAACAAAATACCCGTGGCATACAGGTTCTCACACCGAGTCATCAATTTTTGGAACCTGTTACCAGAAGCAGTGGTGTCTGCACTTTCAATTGACTTATTCAAGAGAAGACTAGACACTCACAGAAGTATAATATAAAAAGAACGATATAGGCTGTATGCCTTCTGTCCTTACGACACAAATCTGAAATCCGATCTGAATCTGATTATTATTTCATATCTTAGCTACCTAAATTAAGTGTGGCTTATAGCCTGTTATGTGAACCTTTCTAGCTTTTAAATTGCCTATAGTGTTAGAAAAAGTCAACAAAATAAGACCGCCATTTATTCATTGTAAATGTTATTAAATAGTTAATAACTTTACCCCATTAACCGTCTCATTGACTTCCTGACTGTTATATTGTACGCATGTAAAGACAAAAACATAATTAAAACCCACTTTTTGGATTTCTAACTGCTTGTCACTGGATTGTTTCGTATAAATGGGAAGCTGTGAATCATTAGTTTGTCTGAATGAGTTTTATCTACTAGGTAGTTTCCTCGAGTACTGTTCCACCTGCCAATTTTGGGTAGTATCATTAATTCAACATGTGATCATACTGTAGCCCAGGGACGTCAATGTAATTTGAAAGTTGTTTTATTATTATTGATATATATTTGCCTGAGTTGTTTATTCTTGTCAATTTCAAGATGTAAAACAAAACTCCTGAATACTAATCTTTCGAAATATTTACCGTGCCTTCGGATCAAATTGTTTGGATTACACAATCTTGATTTTTAGGTATGAAATTTACGCACCCAATTTGATTATTTTTTCACATTAAAACGAAAACAAATTCAAAATGGTTTATTTCACCTAAAGGAGCTGATGGATTTATGGTCCACGACATTCCTACCTGTTTTATTCTATTTTCATGAAAGTAACAAAAATTCGAGAAGCATTTTGCCATGGTTTGTGGTCACCTACTAAGTCTGACTTTCTTTATTCCCTTAACTGTCTTCCTCTGAACGAACAGCAAGTAGCTTTGCGTTTTGCCTACCAACGAGATGTACTTAGTTCTATGGTACGTTAATTTGTATTTGTACATAACTTAGTAGGTTGGAAAGTTACTTATCCGTGGAACAGCTGTACGATACCTTAAGATTTCTCCACATGATGTTAAACTACAACGTTCTCCGGAAGGAAGGCCATATATTTTGGGTTATTCTGATGTGTTGGACTTCAATATTTCACATGGTGGCGACTTCACCATAATTGCTGCAACTCCTGTGGGACGATGTGGGGCTGATGTCATGCCTATAGAACTGCCAGGTAAGCTCCTTCTGTATTGTATTTTACTATTGTACACTTCGACATCATCTATCTTGTTTTTTTTTGTGACATTCCGAATACTTAAAAAATTAGTTGGATATTACCAATCAGACATCAAGAAATAAACAACTGTTTAAAAAACCATACTGAGTGTAGAAATAAGAATTTAATTTGAATTTGAATGAAGTTATTTGATCTTACACAATATATTGGCTCCATATCTTCGCATTGTCATCGTATAATAACACGAAGCGATATTACCAGAGATTTCTTTCCTTTAAAACTCGTGTAGTTAATAATCTCGGGACATTTCTCTTTCCAAAAAGTTAATACTCAGGAACTATCCAAGATTCCAATAGTTTAAGTAGTTTCGCAACTAAATATTTACAAATACTTGAAACATATACTTATTATTACTCCATAATAGTAACTCTATCATTCAGATGGTATATAATTGACTGAGTGATGTTCTTTAAATCAGTTAACTTACTGTAGTGGTGTTACTAGACTTTTGTAATTCTAATCTATACTTTCGCCTGAAATGTTCTGTTTGTGAATCCCTGGTCAGCATTTCAAAGGTCCGCAAATGACTTCGTTTTGAAAATGAAGGACGTATTTTCCTCTACAGAAGTGAACCGTATTTTATCCTCTGGGTCAGAAGCCGAAAAAATGAGAAAATTTTATGAACACTGGGTAAGTAAAATTCCATCTCCAAGTAACACGTTTGATGCAGTTAGTGCATTCCATGTTAATTGTCGTGTAGAACATGCATATTCTTGTGTTTATTAGCAGCGTACGCTTATACACGGCTAGCCAACTTGCGAAATCCATTGGACATTACTTATGATGTTTTCTCGATTAATATTGGACCATGAGTTGTCGAAATGCATACCGTTTAAGCCTGGTGTCGCTTGGTTAACGGTATTTGGTATATCTTCCTGGTCTTAAAAAGACTAAATAAATACCCAGCTGAAGAGTTTTCTTATTATTGTTATCTAGTATATTTTAAAAGAATAGTAGGGCTTTTGTGTCGTGACAAACGTACCTGCCCTAAAATGATTTGACGTCAAATAAGATATAATATTTGGTCAAGAATTGTAGAGAACAGTCGACCTCTGCACTATCGATAAAGACATTGAATAATTGAAAACTCATTGAGACTGTTTTGGTGCCTAAGAAGATTTAGTATTACAACATAGTTACTCTGATCAAATTAGGGTCTTCACGCAACATGATTTCTTTAAAAAGTTAGGCTTTTCCAGTAACCTTATTTAAAACATCAAATGTCAGTCAGTCAGCTACAACGTAGGACCAGGCACATATGTGCATCGATCTAAGTTGCCATACCTCATTAGCACAACAAATGAACACCGAATTCATAGAAGTAGTTAATTCAGTGGTAGTAATATATAAAAGAAAGATTGCATGTGAGGACATAGTACGGGAAGAAAGAATTAGTTAGAAAGAAAAATGTAAAGCGATTCTAATCTCATAGTTTAAAGGAAGACAAATAGTATATACACCTACGCCATTGTGATCGATTCTGAGCCATCAAAATGTTCCCGTTTCTTCTTTGTGCTTGTCATATAATGACAAATTAGCGCTGAGACTTCACTCAGCGGTGATGTTTACAGATCAGTCATTCTAAATATACCTGTACTATTTACGAACTAAGCAGTTACGAATTCCAGCTACTCGTCTTAAGGGTATCAACCACTCCTCAATACGCCTAAATAATTCTTATGAACAATTAGAATAGGTTTAATTCGAAACGTGCCGATACCCGATTGTTACATGATACTTGCAGTTACTGTAGTTCAGTTTATTGTTTCACATTACTCCCTTCTACCTCATATCTTTATTAACTGTTTCATTTCCACTCGATGCATATTTGTTTTAATTCCATATTTTTAATCAGTCAGTCAGTCAGTCAGCTACAACGTAGGACCAGGCACATATGTGCATCGGTCCAGGTTGCCATACCTCATTAGCACAACAAGATGAACACCGGATTCATAAGAGTGGTTAGGTCAAAGGTTGCAATAAGGATATAGTATAGGAAGGAAGAATTAGTTCGTAGAAAGAAAGATATGAAGTGATTTAATCTCTTAGTTTAAGGGAAGACAGGGAGTGTATACACCGACGCCATTGTGATCGATTCTGAGCCATGTCACCAAGAGTCTCCAACCATTGGTTACGATAGTCACGCGGATCCCAACCAAGTAGTCTGCATCTACCAACATGGCTCAGACTAGAAGTTAGTGACTTCAAGCACTGATGCCACGTTTTGGTTTGGCCGCCCCTAACTTTCTTCCAACCAACCCCTACACCGGTTAGCATTGCACGTCGTGGTAATCGGTGTTCAGGCATACGTAACACGTGGCCCAACCATCTCAGTCGATGAAGATTCATAACCTCATCAACTGATTTACCATCATTCCCTAATACCCTGCGTCTAACCTCACTATTACTTACCCGGTGATCCCAGCAGATGCCAGCAATATTTCTAAGGCATCTGTGGTCAAATACTTGTAGCTTACGGGTGTCTTCTACTCTTAATGGCCATGTTTCGCTGCCGTAAAGTAAGACAGAACGGACTGCCGCGCAGTATACTCGTCCTTTTATTGATAGACGGATATCTCGCCTCCGCCAAAGGTGAAGTAAGTTGGCAAAAGCCAAACGAGCTTTTCGAATCCGTGCTGAGATTTCGTCAGACACCAACACATTAGGGCTGATCAGACTTCCAAGATAAGTGAAGTTGTCAACGCGTTCGACTACTTCACTCCCTATCCTTAGTTCAGGTGTTGACGCACACCAGTCCTGAAGCAACAACTTGCATTTAGAGGGAGAGAAGCGCATCCCAAACATTCTGGCATTGTTGCTTAGTGCTACTAGAAGACTCTGCATTTTGTCAGCGTCTTCACCAAACAGGACTATATCATCTGCGTATTCTAAGTCGATAAGTGGACCTCCTGGAAGGAGATCAATACCCGAGAATTCAGTCGACGAGAGTGTTATTTCCATCAATAGGTCTATGATGAAGTTAAACAAAAATGGAGAAAGTGGACAGCCTTGACGGACACCACTTGAAGTTGCAAAAGTAGATGACAGTTCGCCATAAGCTCTGACTCGACTAGTAGTGTTCGAGTAAAGAGCCTTTACAAGGTTTATGTACTTCTGAGGTACGCCTTTCAATGACAGACACTGCCACAGAGTCTCGCGGTCTACAGAGTCAAACGCTGCTTTTAAGTCAAGAAAGACCACCATCGTCGGACGCCGATAGGTATGCCTGTGTTCTAGAACCTGACGAATGGTGAATATGTGGTCGATGCAGCCACGACCAGGTCTAAAGCCAGCTTGGTTCTCTCGAGTTTGTAGTTCACGAGTCTTAGTTAGGCGTCTGATAATTATCGAGGCCAGTATTTTAGATACTATGTTTGTTAAACTAATCCCTCTGTGGTTGTCACAGCATGATTTTGACCCTTTCTTATATATTGGGACGATGAGTGATTGCGACCAGTCAGATGGGATAAAGTCTAATTCCCAGATCTTAGCTAAAATATTAGTCAACCTAATCGCTAAAATTGGACCACCATCCTTAAAGACCTCTGGAGCCAATCCATCTGGACCAGCTGCCCTTCCTCGTTTCAGATTAACTATAGCCTTTTGAACTTCAGCAAGAGTTGGGGGACCTACTTCAATGTTCCATTCACATTGTCTGGGAATGGAGGGTAGTTGTAGAGTAGCTGAAGGCCAGCTGAACTGTTCTCTAAAATGTTCCGCCCATCGTTCTAAACGTCTGGACTGGGAGCAGATGAGAGTATCATCTTTTTCCGAAATAATCTCACTTACACTTGACTTATTAATTCCAGTTTCTTTTATTAGTCTGTAAAGCTGTCTTGTGTTCCCTATAGTCGCCGCCTTTTCCATCTCTTTTGCTTTCGTTACCCACCACTGCTCACGGTCGTTCCTTAGACTTTTTCTTAACCTAGATCTGATTTGTTTTCGCTCTTCATCATGTTCAGAACCTGATGGGACGAGCTTGCGAGAATCCATCAGTGTGACAGACCTTGAAGAAATCCACTGGTTCCTTGCAACTCTGTGGTTTAAGTCACTAATAGATGTCACTGCTGTTTCCACAGCTGATTGTATGCTCTTCCAAGCAACATCTGGGTCAGCCTCGTCTTCACAACTACCTAAGTGTGACCTCAGTTGTTCCTGGAACCTACTTTTGGTTTTCTCGTTACTCAATTCAGTTCTAACGGGTCTTTTTAATGTGGCTTTTTTGCGTCCAGTGAGGCGCAAGCAGATGCGTGCCCGTATTAGGGCGTGGTCGGAGTCCAAGCAGGTACCCCAGAATGAGCGACAATCTTCTACCGACCCTCTCCAACGATGACTGATGGCAATATGGTCTATTTGAGTCCATCGTTGGTTTGGTGTAGGGGGTCGCCATGTTAGACGATGTCTCTCCTTATGCTTAAAATTTGTGTTTGCTAAAAATAAACGATTGTCTGAGCATAGCTGCAGCAGACGATCACCATTATCTGTTCGCTGTGTCGGAATACTAAAATATCCACCTAAATGCCTTTCTGTTTGGTTTAAGCTACCTATCTGAGCATTAAAATCACCTGCTACGAGTACTATGTCTGAGCGTTTAGCTTTCTGAAGAAGTTCAGAAAGCTTTCTGTAAAATTCATCTTTCACTTCATCTGAGCTGCAGTCAGTGGGAGCGTAGACAGAAACGACAAAAAGGCAACGACGTGTGTCCCTATCCTTCCGAGTTCTTACGTAGCCGTTCAGCCGAACAGCACATAGACGACTGTTGACGGGGATCCACTCTAGCAGTGCTTGTTCCGCCCTCATGCTTAGTGCTATGCCTACACCTGCCAGTCCACGAGAACTGGCCATCGGGTCACCAGATACACGGAGGGTGTATCTCGTTGGCTCTCCATTTTGCCGAGGTGAGGTCAAGTGAATGACCACACTGGGATCCTGTATGCGTGTTTCAGAGACACAGCATACATCAATGGAAAGAGACTCTAGGGTTTTAGCCAAGGAAGCCTGCTGACCGATTTGACATAGAGTGCGTACGTTGAAAGCTCCAATGTGTAGTTTGGAGCGAGGTTTCAGTAGACCTGGGACAGAGTTTTGAGCACTAGAATCGTTGGCTATGGTGACACTTGAGGAGGAAGCCGAAGGAGGAAGTTTAGGGTTGAAAGTCGATGTAGGAGGAATAATAGGAATTGAAGAGGAAGGTTGATTATGAATACAGTGGTCTTGGGTGCTGTTAGAGGTATGAGGGCGGTTATCGCTTCCCGGTTGCCCACACCGTGGAAGGGTTCTTCTGGAGGTACCTGAAAAGGAAATTGGATTAGAGGTGGTCTCAGTGACCTGAGAGCGTGACCGCAGAGCCCAATGGACAACTGCTTGAGGCCGGTCGCGCACGGCCTTTTCGTGGAAGGTTTTCGACGTGTTAGCTCCGTTCTTCAAAGGGCCTTACCGCCGGAGACGGAAATCCGTGAGGTAAGGTGTGCATTTTTAGGGTCGACCTTTTCTAACCCCACCCCTCCTTGTGGGAAGGCAGCATCGCTGTCATGCTGGTTGTCTGAAGGAAACACCTTACTGCTGTCACACCTCTGTACAGTCAGCAGTACGACTTCGCCTTCGGACCTTGGGTTTGTTGCTTTTAGTCTTACCGCTCTTCAACCGACCTGTCTGACATGGTAGGACCTTGAGGAACGGTTGTTCCAGCCAGTATAGCTCGATTGCTTCATCACGATAGGCAAGCCCGACCACCACGTCAAGGTAGCAACAACGGTCGGGCCCATATTTTTAATACACTGTTCAAAAAATTATTGCTGTTGTTTTAACGTAACTTAGTCCGATTGTTTAATACTCAACTACCAATAGCTGAATCCAACTAATGTCATTCTGTTAAGCAAGAATAACAAAAGTTTTAACTCACTGTTCATTATTTCTTTCAGTGTTTTAAAGAAGCTTACGTTAAAGCTTTAGGATGTGGACTTCGTATCCCCTTAAAAACGATAGAATGCCAGTTTTCTGACGATGGCAATGAATTCTTGATTGGTAATGAGCCTACAAATCAGCCAAATAAAAATTGGGCCTTTGAAAAACATAACCTACCTGAAAATCATCTGGCGGTAGTTGCTTGGTTTGAAAACACATATGTGGCAAGTTCCTAAGTACTTTATGTTTACTATTTTCTTAGAAAATTATTGTTTACTAACAAACCAAGCGAACCATAGTTTTGCATTTTTATAATTATTGAACTTTAATGTGCCGACTATGCTTCACCTTTCCCAAAAGGTCAAAGTATTTACCTTTATTTTCAACTGAACTCTCTCGTTAATCTCATGTTACAATTCACCTATCACTAAGTACTTCGACTTTATTAAAGATTTCAAGATTTTCGCTCAGTTTTTTAAGCTGTCTTTATCCGGATGATGATGTCCGTTCACAATTTACATTAAATTTAAATCTTGTCGATCACAGAGAAATCTCTGTCTATCTTTCCATCCCAAAGGACAAATGGGACTGTTAGAGACCTATATCTTGTTTCGTTATCTTTTTCACTCCGCTAGTACTTCACCCTTTTGATCCATGAATAACAGCTTGAGTATATGATTTCGTCCAAAAGAAAATTTCGCTGAATTCTCTTTTCCTTGTTCTATGAATAAGACCTTCATTATTTGAACAGTTTTCACTAGGTGACAGTTTTTATGATGACACAAAAAAGTGCTTTCTCATCGCTTCATATATGTGCAAATTATATGCACATGATATATGAGCAATCGTGTAATATTCCTGACCTTTGAAAAGTGACTTTTGCTCAAAGCCCAGTACACATATTAATATTCGGTAGCTGAGATATGTCAACTTAAATCGTAAGCACTTCCTAACCGTACTTTATATTTACCAGCAGTGATGATTTTTTATGTTTAATATATATTTCCTTGTGAATGTTTCTCTTTTTTGTAGGAGACCAAAACCAGTACTTCATTTTCCCAACTGAAATTTGAACAGTTAGTGGACAAGTTAGCAGTCCTATCGCCTGTAGATAATACTGCTTGGGATCAATTTTTGAGGAAGCCTCATTCACCACCATCATCTCGTCAACGAATTCAAGTTAATTAATTTAGATTTAATTCATTGTTGAAATTTATTTAGTCATCAATTGCATGCTAATCATTGATTTTTAAATATAAAGTATTTTATTTAGGAGAAAATTTTGTATATTTATGAAATAAAAATTTTACTGGCCTACTCAGTTTAGCTTAGGTTTCATGAACCATTAAGGAAAATTGATTCGAAGATCGGCTTTAGGTAAATCATTGGACCATATTAAAAAATCGTCAGTGTAATCAGGTTTGATTTGGTCATCTGTTAGATATGATTCCCAAGCAGTTCCGAAAAAATGTACCAAAGTTGTAGTCAGCATAAGATAAATGAATTGATAGGGTACACATACAGTGTATCTTTGAAAAACATTGCGTGCCCAATGTGCAGGTAAACTTAACTCTAACATTGTCGAATTTCCTGCAATAGGTAGTTTTTCAATGAAGCGATTTGGATCAAATACTCCGTGAGGTTGATATTTGGTAGGCCCTTCTCCAGTCTCATCAGCAGCCCATAAATCTGGATCTGAGTAGTACGAAGGCTCATCAAAAAGCACTAGTTCTCCTTCAGCAATGTCTTGGTTTAGTATTTCCCCATCGCGGAGGGCTTGACGCAAACAACCAAAAGGCCAACCAGGTACACATAAACGCAGCGTCTCTTGAATTAAGGCCTTTGTCCAAACCAAACATTTTGTGTGCTCCAAAGACATGCAAAGATGTGACTGAAAGGGAAAATACTTTGGCGATTACCTTTTAAAAATCGCACGGAGCTAAATTACCAAAGCGTTAATGAAATCTACTTACGGTGTATTACAAAGCACCACCTAACATTGGTCTTGATCTTTCTCAAAGATCACCGTAAGAGGATACAAAGTTTTTTCTTAATAATCATTTGGATTAGATACAAATAGCGAAAACAGTTCTATTTTACTGAACCAAATGTCCTCAGTATTACGAACAAACTTGAATCCAACCACACTAATCCAATCTAGTGAACAGGATCTGGTCTATTGTAATGGTGATTTCAAACTAATACTCATGGTTCTCACTAGTGTGTGTTTGTTATGATACTTTCCGTCGCCGTACTTGGATGTTTAAACATTTCATTTCTTTTAGTTCGCATGAAAGGATTTTAAAGCATCGGCTAGTAAGTGGATCATCAAATTACTATTGTTTCACTAACATACTTGCACAGGTTGATAATTGGAGACATCGATAGAATTGGGGCACTTAAGAATCTTACCTTAAAATGTGGATTGGTCTACTATTGTCCCGTAATCTACCCCGATCCATTTAATTACTTTTGTCACTGGATCAAGAGGATATTGTGTTGTAATAGCCGGTAAGATCAGATATCATGTCGTCTTACAGATAAAATAAACTTTTCTGACAGATGAGATACCATTCTCTATGTTTGTAAATATGTGTGCAGTCGGAATAGTAAGGCTTTGGTGCATGTTTAGGACCATTCACGAAAATAAATCTTAACTTGACAATTACTTGGTTGAGATTCATTTTTAGTAAAACAGATTTAATTCTGTTTTGACTAAGTTGTAACAGCTATTACTTCCAAATGATATTTTGAAACATATACCAACCACATTCATTTGGCAATTTTAGTCGGTTGTACTCAGTATTATCAAAGGGACATTTTAGAAGCGATCAGTAACTATCATCAATTCAATCTGATTCACCACAAAACACACATGACTCCTCATATGACAAGTTAAAACTTTAATATCCAGTTAACTTAGCTTAAAAGTGGAACCGCAAACTAACAAGTTTCTGTTCAAGATATGTAGAAAAAAGGTGCCCACTAAACTTATTATCAAGTAGACAACTTAAGTCCTCTCTAACTTTTAGTAATTTTATATTGGAAGTTCAAATGAGGTGCAAGACTGAATCTAAGTTCTCTTACCTGTCAATATTAAACAACTACACACGTCTCCAATGCTGGGGAGATTTTTACTCTCTTGTAAGCCCAGACCTCTATCATATACCACTGATATTCAAATATTGACCAATAAGCTATATTTTTATAGAAATTAGATGTACGGATTTTAGTGATCCAATCCTACCGACCAATAAGTCGGATGTATTTATCAAGCTAAGTGACATGCTCTTTGTGTTTATTAATAGGTTAAATTCTGTGAACCCTAAGGAAATTTCCTGTTTGATCTAATGTAAACCATGACGGCAAATCTTTCAGTGAATGCTATCTTATCATCAATTCGTTTTTGCCTAAATCACTTGATATATGATTAAGAAATGAAAAATATCATCTAAGTAAATCCTGCAAAATTTAACTCACTAAAGGATGGCTGCATAATGACGCAGATCTTTGTGTTTTATGGTTATATTGGATTTCTAGAAATTGTTTACATTCTTTTCTTACATTATCTTGCCATTTTGGTTTAATAGCTAGAATCGTCAATAGAGTTTTTAAAGTCTTATTCATTGTATACCTAGTTATTAAACAACATTCACCAAGTAAATGAATAATATGTGTTAGTGTTAGGAATTCATTGGAACCTCCTTCCTCTTTCAAATAGTGGTATGTATTAATGAGTTGTAGTAATAGATTTGTTGGTTTCTCGCTTCTTTGTAAATATTCTAGATTACCATCTGGATTGTTAGTATTTTCTTTTCTTTCTTCACTATTCAAAAATTTATCCAAATAATAATGAATTAAAGGATTTATAAGACTGTGAAGCATAGTTATTAACTCATTCGTATTATGGGTTGATGGGTTGTTGAGAAATGGCTGTAAGATTGCTTTAAATACATTTGACTTTTCTATAAAGTTCCCATGTGTATGTAAGGATTCCAGTGAGATTATGCACTTTCTTAGATCTAGAATGAATTTTTCTCTTCCAAAACGAAATGTATTGTCTGAGGCAGTTTCGCAAAAAATTTCTGATGGACCGAAAAAAAAAACTTCTGAATATACACTACATATCCATATGTCTAAACGTTTTTCAAATCTTGCACAGTTGTTAGTACTAACTAATATAGAGCCAAGTAATTGAGGATCAGCTCCTAAATGGCCGGTACGTTCGAATATTTTAATTGGTAAACTATTGAACGCCAACAACACCAGCTCAATCAATTCAGATCTAAACTGTAAAGTATCATCAGCAATCATTAGGCCACACCATTTTCGTCTAAATGATTCTAAAGAAAAAGGAAACATGAAATTTAAAGCGATGTTCATATCTGTTGATTTCTTTTTGTTTCTGAAGTAAAATACATAATTTAAATTTAATTGGTAGTAGAATTTATAACGAGTTTTCTACTACATAAGGCTTTTTAACCAGATCTCAGGTTTAGATTCAATTACTTACTCCACACTGTTTGTCGCTTCTTTCACTGGTATACACGCAGAAATTCTGTACGATTATGTTGAGCTATAGCTCAAGGATTCAAACACTAGACTCTTATTAAATCAGTTAAATGTCTTAAACTGACCAAGAGTTAAACTTCTAACTTACAGTTGTTACGTAAGAAGTGACGCTTATACCCCAGTAGAGAAATCTGGGTGTAATTACAGGGTTCTACTACATACAGTAAATAAGAATCAACATGGGATTTGGTGCGAATCTACTTCTGTCCAAATCATCATATCACAGCGCAAAGATGAGATTAGCTTAACCACACATCACACTCCGAATTCCTAGTATTATCTAAACCCTTGATCCCCAAACTTTCTTCTAAAATCTCATTGCATAAACTTCCCGAACAAATTTGTTCACCTAGCAGCAGATTACATTCCTGATTAAAAGTAATACAAACATATCAAGTTAATTTGAATGCTAGCTGCTTATAAATACAGCCTAAGTGCCTACTCTTTATGTACACACCAAATACAAACATGGTTTTCATTCTCAAGAAAAGTCTTTAAGTTTAACTTATTTAAATATTCATTTAAAACTTAAAAACATTTACTATTCGTGACACTTCACTCATATATATATATATATATATATATATATATATATATATATATATATTTGAGCAGAGCCGAAACCAGAAGCTTGAGATCTCTTACTTACGCCTGTTACTCCTAATGCAGCATAGGCCGCCGACCAGCATTCTCCAATCCACTCTGTCCTGGGCCTTCTTTTCTAGTTCCATCCAATTCTTGTTCATTTTTCTCATATCTATCTCCATTTCTCGGAGTAATGTGTTCTTTGGTCTTCCTCTTTTCCTTTGACCTTCAGGATTCCATGTGAGGGCTTGTCTTGTTACGCAGTTGGGTGCTTTCCTCAATGTGTGTCCTATCCACTTCCAGAGCTTCTTCCTGATTTCTTCCTCCGCTGGGATCTGGTTTGTTCTCTCCCACAGTACGTTGTTGCTAATAGTGTCCGGCCAACGGATCTGAAGTATTTTGCGTAGACAACTGTTAATAAACACCTGTATTTTCTGGATGATGGCTTTCGTAGTTCTCCAGGTTTCTGCCCCATACAGTAGAACTGTCTTGACATTTGTATTGAAAATCCTGACCTTGGTGTTGGTTGATAGTTGCTTTGAGTTCCAGATGTTTCTAAGTTGTAAATATGCTGCTCTTGCTTTGCCGATCCGCGCCTTCACATTTGCATCAGATCCACCGTGTTCATCAATGATGCTGCCCAAATATGTCAAGGTTTTTACATCTTCAAAAGCTTCTCCGTCAATTGTGATTGGATTGGTGCATGCTGTGTTGTATCGGAGAATCTTGCTTTTCCCTTTGTGTATATTGAGACCTACTGCTACTGAGGCTGTTGCCACACTGTTCGTCTTCTGTATTTGTTGTTGCGTTTGGGATAGAAGGGCCAGATCATCTGCGAAGTCTAGACCGTCTAACTGCACCCTAGATGTCCACTGTATCCCGTGCTTCCCTTCAGATGTTGACATCTTCATGATCCAGTCGATCACCAAGAGAAAGAGAAAGGGTGAGAGTAAGCAACCTTGCCTAACACCGGTCTTCACTTCGAACGACTTTGTCAACTGTCCTCCATGCACGATTTTGCAGTTGAATCCATCATATGAACTCTGTATGATATTGACTATCTTCTGAGGCACGCCGTAGTGTCGAAGAAGCTTCCATAGTGTTGTTCTGTCCACGCTATC